GCAAGAAATAACTGTGGGGAGACTAGTAGTTTCAAGAATTCTTGCTGTGAAAGCTTCAATATTTTTAATCTTTAAATCAGAACTTCTGTGTTTTCTTATTAAGCTTTCTCAAACAATAAACATTAAAAAAACATTTGCAGTACAAATAAACAGCAATGAGTTTGTTCAAGTACAAAATTTAATGCAAAAAAGGGAGGGAGATTTTACATTTTTATAGCAGGTCAAGATACTCCACAAAAGTCACAAGGTGAGTAGTCATTAAAGATGGCATCTTTTAAAAGAGAACTCTGATTCTGAAGTGAATTTCCTTCCCTTCCCTTCCCTCTATCTTTTTCACCTTTCCTCTGGAAAGCTATTTTAGTATCACTAGATTTTGGTGTTACAACCTAACAGATTTGGTGAACATCTTGGAGGTATTTTTCAAGAATAACTTTACAACTTCAGAGCAGGAGTTGCACTGAAAATCATCGACGTGTGCTGCTAGCTCATACAGTCACGTTTGAAAACTGCACTCTGCACTTTTGAAAGTTCTCCCAGTTTGGAGGTTTACCACTTCTTTACTGGTCTCCAAGCATTAACTTTGATTTCTGAATGGAGAATCTGACCCTGAATTATATGAAAAAGTGTGATTCCCTGATGAGCAGATCCATTAGTTGCTATACTGTGGGAATGACAAGAGATTGTAGCAGAAAATGGGTGTACGGTGGCACAAAGATTTTTTGTTGGCAATACTGGGAGTCAGGGAAATCTTAATATGGGGAGTTATGGATATAGTTTCAGCTTGATTATAATGAGAGGATAGACTTGCTGTTATATCAGTGGAGCAAGATTCAATTCCCTAGTTTTTGAAATTTCCGGAGAGGGAGAAGATAAAGGGATATACTTGTTAGGCACAGAAAAAATAGGGATTATTTTTAACCAAGTCTAAATCAAATTTGAAACTCACTTTTTTGTCCAACCTTTCAAAGACATTGCAATTTGAAAAAAACAATGAATTCTTTTCTTCATTAGGCTTTGGTTTCCTTCTCTGATGTGAGGTTTTATTAGTCCACGGATACCAGAATTTGCCATTTAGACAGTGAAGACTGTGCCTAGACTGAAAGACGAGTAAGGGACACTGGCTTAATCCTTAGATCTGCATCGTGTGTGCTTTACATCCATAGCTTTTATCAAGCTGGGGAGTCAGGTGTAAACGACCCACACAATTCTTGGAAGAAGCCAGTCCCAAAACGTCTCATGATGGAAAGACTCTACCTAATTTGGTGCTACCTATGTCCAATTTGCTCAGATAATGAGAAGTGCTAAGGCTTGAATCTCCTCAAAAGTTTTCCCTCCTCAGAAGGCTAGAGTTGGGATGGTCATTTAGCATGAGTTTGATTTATTTACAGCATGCTTAATTGCAAAGTCTGTTGTTGTCAATGGGCTGGGCATCCTACTTCCTGCAGAATGTGGGAATGCTCTGAGTGTGAATAAATGTTACTGAAGCCTGACTAAATGGCCTAGAAAGGCCTTCATCAAAGTAGGAAGCTGTCATAAATAATGTAATTTAATAGTTTGTTTGTGATGAAAATTCTGAGTTTGGTGTATGGCTTGTGAAACTTGCTTCTAAGGACTCCGCTTACTAAGTTACCTACTGATCATGCATAGCTGAGAGAGCCTGCTGCACATGACAGGGCAATAGCAGAGAAAGGTTGCTCTCATACGTCAAAAGTGGGAAAACGGTTTAGGACAGGGTAGGTATTCAACCTGTAAAATCAGATAGTTTTATGTTGATAGGGTAGAGAAAAAAGACTGGAGGTAAAACCATCACCTTGGGAAAAATATGTAACCAAATCTGTGATTTGTCAGGAAAGCCAGCTGTGAAGTAGAATGGTAGGAAACAGAAAAACTTTATAGAAACACCAAAACCAGGGCAGTTCAGAACCCAATTAGCCTTACTTTTTTCTGCATGACTTTCATTCTTAGCTTCATCTGAATATGATTGTATCCAGGCTATTCTTATGGTGTGTTCCTCTAACCTGTGTCAGAAAGAAATTGGTTTTATGTTATTTGTAGTCCAGTTTTGTACAGAGTTAGAGGATTATGGAAATATCTAAGTGCTTATTTGGTTTTCCAAACTAAGCTACCAAGCTTCTCCGGTTTTGTTTTTTCTTTTTCTTTTTTTTTTTCCTTTTTTTTGACAGTATTATGATAGCATTAAGGAATGTAATCTTATTGTGAGATACAGGCATTACTTCTATATTATATGTACTGACTAGTCAATTCAGTATATGCTTTAAACCAACTATGAAGTGGTGATACTTTTGTTCTAAATATATTGTTTTGATTTCACAGGTGCCTGCATAAATATCACCAACAACCAGTGCCAGATGCTGCCATATAACTACACCACTGTAACTTCAATTCTTTCCATTGTCAAAAGTATTGAAATGGAAAAGTTCCTGAAGTTCTTCAGTTATCTCAGTCGACTCAGCTGCTATCAACACATTATGCTGTTTGGCTGTAGTCTTGCTCTTCCTGAATGCATCAGTGACGGTGATGACAGGTATCTGGAAATGAAAATCTGTCAGTGAGTAGAGCCAATTGTGGTAAAATACTCTCTGTCTAATCAGACAAGGGAACTTATGACCTTCTCATTGCACAGTTCCTGTCTGTCAAAGCTGTTGGCAACGTTTCTGTCACGATAAACCAACTGCAGTTGAGTTCCTCTGGGAAAAAAATTGCCACTGTGATATTAGGGCAGTCAGGATTATTTTCCTAGAGAAGGCTCTCCAGAATTCTTGTACCTAATTCTGCAATCTGAGTATGCTGAAATGGAATGCTTTTTAACAACATTAATGCCTTGGAAATGTCTAGTATTGGCATAAAGTGTTAAACTTCAAATTTGTTTAGTCTTTTCCTTCAAAGAGGTTAATGTTTTAAATATATTTTATGGTATTAGATTAGCAGGATGTATTCAGAGGGACATAAACTATTCTGGAAGCTTAAGGAGCATGTATTTTTTCCACATTTACATGATTTTACAACATTAGTATCATGTGCATGCACTTTTTAAATTGAGTTTGATTTGAAAAAAAAGGATCAGTGAGTTTAACAGTGCTAAAATCAAAACATGGCACGAAAAGGGAAAAATGAACTATTTTTTTTAATGTATGTACACAGTCTTTGATATTTCTGGAGAGGGAAAGAGAGAGGGTAGATTTGTTTCATTTTTCCTGATTTCCGGTTTCTTCACTGGGAAATTCAGTGGAAGAGTGTATGGCAATTGAATAAGTGATTCAGATAACATAACAAGAACCAGAAAGTCTAAAGCCTTGCTTTAGAAGGAATAAGATGCTTATGAAAAAGGTTCTGTGAGAACGGGTCTAAAATATAGTTGCCAATGAAAGGTACAGTCTCACTCCAGGCAATATATGCTTGCCATTTCCATTGCATCAGAGTGATTCCTGGACTGGCAATTAAGCTCACTAAACTGACAGAAAATTAACCCAGAATAAAGGTGTACAGATGATTATATGAATAGGATTAGGGTGGAGTAAAAGCAGCACAGGTTAACAGTGGAACAAGACTGACCATTGGACTGGCAGAATGGTTTAATCCAAATTCACCTGTGTACATATCTTTGTTAGCCTACCAAAAGCTATTTTCAATTAATCCTGTTTAATTGAGAGCATTATTAATTATAGCCCCTCGACTCCAATTCATGATTACAATTTTTCCAGTTAAGGAATCTGATAACATACAGCCTTAAACTACCTGTTGTCCCTAGAAATCATTGAACAAAATAAGAAAAATGATCTCAGGTAAAAAACTGATGCATTTAAGCGTTCAGCAACAGAACAGGCTATTTCTCTGTTGCTTCACTTATTCTGCCTTGTTTGGAACTTGACTTTCACAAACCTTTTGAGAGTGAGTGGTACGTGTCTAAAGTGCAAAGCTCATAAGTCAATCAAATAAGTAGAGTGGTGAAAGGATAAGTCTTGTACCTTTTCTTTTCCATTTCTTTCCTGAAAATATGTTTCTTGCATGGTTTATATTATGCCTTGCTAATTTAAAGAGCGTAGAAGTTAAACTAATGTTTGGAACATGCAAGCTTTTGCTCTGGTTTTTGATGGCAATCAAAATATATTGAGATTCTAGAGTCAGGGTTTTTCTTTTGTGTGGTTTTTTTTTTCCCCCAACAGCAACGTTCTTCTATTAATTTTTAATGTCAAAACTGGAACTGCATTTCCATGGCCTGTTTTATGTCCTGGACATCACAATGCTCCCTCTATTTTTATTTTAAAATCCTTTTTGTGGAAACTGTTCTGGCCCCTGCAGACTTAATGGGGAAGAATGTCCAATGTGAGACTGTCAATGATGCAGGATTGTGTTAGAATCTGACTTTAGTAACCATATGTCTCTAGAGCGTTCCATGGGTGTCACTTGAAAAAGCAGTCTATGCAGTTGAAGTGGCAACAACAGGAAGAACCGTAAGAGTGGATTGACAGTGCACTGGTCAGTTAAATCTAGTCTGCCAAACCTGAGTTGTCCTAGTTTAACTTCTGGTTTCCTCTTTAAAGAAGGATATCTTTTATTCTGTCGGCAACCAAGTGATTTTTGCGATTACTGTCTTTCTTGTAGCATCCAATTATTGCAGGCTAACAGATGTATTTCAAAGCCAAGAATAATGATTTTGAGAAGCATCATATCTGCATAAAATAGTTATTTAATACCTTCCATTCTCACCCCAGCCCCTTCCCCTTCTCTCACTCCTCCCCATAACTCTTGAAGTTACTTTGTGTGTTTTGGGTGCAGATACAAAAACTGAAAGACACAGCCCTGTTTTAGGTTTGTTGAATAGGGGAATCTGGTAAGTGGAAACACTGAAGGAGAAGCAGAAGAGTCACTGTGGAAGGCGTCTGATAATAATAAATGGGGATGTGTCGATATGCTGTAGAGCTTTTTTGGGATTATGGTTGCTTTTTATTATACAGTATCATAAAACATACACTAGTATGGTGCACAGTTGTTATTATCATTGTCACCAATTCCTCCAGACAATTACAGCTGTTTCATTGTAATATCAGTGCATATATGATCATAATTTTTCATCTATTGATAACTTTTTGTTTTATGGAGCAATTGTTTCTAATGTATGTAAAGCATAATTTGACAAAAGCTGCTTACACAGTATAGAAGAAATTAAACTCTTGTGATGCTTAGACATCTATTCTTAGGTATTGTTGAGAGGGTCTGTGCTGGCAGCTTGCAGCCATGGAAGCAATAATGCATTACAAGAAGCATCAAGAAGGAAAGTTACAAGCCCTAATCTTTCGCATCCAGTGAGCTGTCATTACGTATGGCTTTTCTCTGATGTTTAAACTTATATCTGTTTCCCATTTGTCTTTCATGTGTTTATAAACATTGTATTCATTAACACTTGAAGGAGATTAAGTTTCTAGGCAGAGGGCTTATTCACTGTTTGTGTAACACAGTGTATTTAGGTACTGGGATTTCTTAATAATGCCAATATACTGTTGCTCTTCGAAAAAGTTCTGTATCTTACTGCAGTAAAAATCATGTGTGGCAGTAAAATATATTAATTTTTAATTTAATTTCAGCAACTGGATCTACAATCAGCTAGCTCTGCTCTTTTATGAAAATATACAACAATATTTTTATACTACTTTCCAGTAAACATAAGGTTTGAAAGTACAACTAAAACCTGTGTGAAAATGGAACATGGAAAGTTGAAGTGTAGTAAGGCTTTTTGCTTGCTCATTACTTGTCCATAATTTGTATACTAAGTAAGGGCATCATGCAGCTTCCACCTTCTTGGGTGAATCGATGAGATCTTTCCAATATGACTTCAAAATCAGCTTTAAAAAACCCGTCTTGACACAGTCCAGCAGCACTACTAAGAGAACATGACTTAGTCCTGAAAAGTAACACCAGTGGTGCAAGAACACCTTAAACTAGTTGGAGTGCTGAACTAGTGACTTCTAAAACATTCCTGGTAATAAGTTTGTCCTTTTGGGTAGTAGTAGCTTGCAACCTCTTACCATCAAATGCGACACTGGTACTTTACTTGTTATAAGAAAGATCTGTCCTCAGAGTAGTAGTGTAATCTAGTGAATTCTCCCTTACTGCTGGAAGACACTGAGTGTGGGCCAAAGGCCAATTACTGCAATGTAGAGAATGTTTATTTATAGTAATTCACTCGCATTGGATTCTACAATTCAAGAAGACAAAAAAATCTGGAAAACGTTAGTGTGAAATTTTTTCATATTTTCAAAAGAAAAACAGATGTTTTTAAAAGCCAAAATTGGTGTAAAATTTAAAGATTCAGAATCAATAGAGAACTTCATAATGGGTCAGCCTATAACTGCATAATACAAATAGACTTACTGAATGACGCTTTCTAATATTTCTTGCCTTCTGTTTCATCAAATGGCTTGGTAAAATAGTCAAGATATGTAAGATCCTGAAGGCCTACGTACATGGTTTATTTTGACTTTTTATGCAAGGAATGAATTTGAAAGTTATGGATTCTCATAATACCTCTTTGCTGTCGTGCTGCCTCCTAAAACAGAAATAATACCTTGAGTACTTCCATTAATCCTCTGTGTAGAAGTGTATTCCAGAAAGGTGAGGAAATTATTGATAGATCCCCAGAGTCTCAAATATTTGGAGATCAAACTGGATTTAAGCTCTGCCTAGAAAATACTTTTAGGGCAACACAAATTAGAAGGTGTAATATGCTCCCAAGGTAAAATTCTAAACCACCTTGCATTTATGTATCTTTTTACTCACTATAGTCTTTTTCATGTCAAATATCTTTGAAATAAAGTTGTGAAGTGGCTTGTTTTCAGTTTGGGCTCAAAGAGTCCGTCTGAGATTATGGCTTTTTATGTTGGATGCTGTACAAACATGCACTGAGGGCAACCTCTGGCCTCTGAAAGTTTATAGCCCAGATGAGGAAAACCGCTAAAGGATAGGAAGGGTAACATTGTCACATTAATAGCTAGGGAAGCTGAGACTTAGCAAGAAATTTGCAGTAGAGCAGAGAACTGAACCTATAACACATAGCGTATGTCTTCAGGTACAGCATTATTTTTCCTCTTGATTAAAGTCTGAAAATTAATTTCTCTCATTATCATTTATTCACTTTACTTGTGATCAAATATCTAATGAATGTAAGGAAAAAACTCTGCCATAATTTGACTTTTTTCTTTCCTTTTCTTTCCCCCCCTCCTCCCTTAGGTTAATTCTATAGGGGAAAATAATATAATGAAAGGAAAAGGCTTTCTTTGATTTTCAGACTCCTTACAAAGGAGTTTTTCATGTTAATGTGTATATGTAGCAAATAGTTTGTTTTGCTGTAGTATCTATGCTACAAAAACCAGCAGCCAGGTAACGATTTGTAGAAAGCGGAAGAGGTCAGAATAAGACTACATGGTATGTTTGGGGTGGGGAAAATTAACTAGTGAAAATTTGGTTAATACTAAATCGGTTCTAAGAAGCTGTGAATATGTGACTGTGTATGCAGTAAAATATTTTTTG